CCGAGGAGGTGCAGAGCGTTCGCTTCCTCCCCTTCGACTACGAGATCGAGTACGTCTGCCGGCCCGACCGCGAGATCGTGGGGCCCAAGGTGCGCAAGTGCCAGCGCGACGGCACCTGGACCGCCATGGGCCACCCCAGCCGCTGCCGTGAGTGTCACCGGCCCCACCCTCGTCGCCGTTAGCGTCACCGTCATCCCCATCCCCTTCACCTTCACCATCCCCATCCCCAAGCACCGGTACCATCACCGTTGCTGTCATGGTCACGTCAGTGTCACCCCAGCACCACCCCCTTCACCGTCACCATTGCTTTTGCTGTCACTGTTACCATGACCGTCACCGTACCATCACCAACAGCATTACCATCACCACCATCATCCCTGTTACCATCACCACCACGATCACTGTTACCTTTACCATCATCTCTACCATCCCCATCCCTGTCACCATCACCGTTACCATCATCCCCATTACCATCTCTGTTACCATCCCTGTCACCGTCACCATCCCCACCATCCCCATTACCATCTCTGTCACCATCCCTGTTACTATCCCTGTCGCCGTCGCCATCACCACCACGATCACCATCACCTTTACCGTCACCTTTACCATACCCATCCCTCTCATCAGCATGATCACCATTGCCATCGTCACCATCATCATCACCTTTACCATCCCCATCATCATCACCATCATCATCACCGTCATCTTTACCACCACCGTTGCCTTCATCTTTACCATCACCTTTACCATCTCTGTCACCATCATCATCACCATTACTGTCACCACCATGACCACAATCACCTTTACCACCACCTGTACCATTCCCATTACTATCACCATCACCGTTACCATCCCTGTCACCATCACCATCATCACCATCCCCATTACCATCCCCGTCACCATCACCATCCCTCAACCATCCCCGTTACCATCACTGTTACCATCACCACCATGATCACCATCACCTTTACCATTACCATCCCTGTCACCATTACCATCCCCGCCACCATCATCATCACCATTACTGTCACTCCCATGATCACCATCACCTTTACCATCCCCGTCATCACCATCGTCATCACCACTACCATCTCCGTTACCGTCCCTGTCACTGTCACCATCACCATCATCACCTTGACCATCCCCATCCCCATCACCTTGACCACCCCCATGACCATCACCATCCCCATCCCCATCCCCATCCCCTTGACCATCCCCATCACCGTTACCACCACCACCATCACCACCCCCCTCCCCA